CCCCTAAAACCCCAAACCCCTAAAGCAATCCAAACCTCCAGGCTTCAGTCGTGTGTCTGAGGGTATTTCAGAGTTGGCACGCGCCCAAACCCTCTAGGAGATCTCAGCCATGCTGGAGCCCGCAGGGCCATTCCTCAGAGGGTTTAGGGTTTAGGGTCGCTGGGCTGAAGGCTTTGAGCTTGGAGGTTTGCTCTATGGGTTTCGGGTTTGCAGTCCATGCTTTGGGGCTTTGCGTGCGTTTATCTGCGATCGATTCTGTGGACACCATGCGTCTGGGACTCTGGAAAGAGCAGGTTGTAGTAAGTTATCTGAGTTTTTGGAGTGTGTCTTGGGTGTTCCAGTATACAATGATACAACTTTGAATTGTCAGAACATTGGGTATGTAGTGGACTGAAGTAGACGCATGTGGGACTGTGCAGGAACATGTCTTATCTCCCGTTGCTCACACCACTGTACCCTAAATCCTCAAGTAACAGAGCGTATAAACCCTATCTAAACCTTCCAGACTTTAGGCCCTAACAGCTCTAAGCCGTACATGTCCTAAACACTCATGCCCTGACTCCAAAAGCCCAGCCGAACCTTTTAAGACCAAAAAAGCCCTCACCCCTAAATCTTTATGCAAAAAGCCCACACAAGAGAAAGACCAAAACCCGAAGCCATTCGACGACCAGCTCCACATGTTGAAGCCATCTAGTGTTCCGGGCTTAGGGTTTTGGGCTTAGGTACAAGATTGTCGTAGAACCCCTCCCTGCCCTAATTCTCGACAGCCTGAACCACAAGATTGTCTCAGAGGGGCGTCACGCCGCCATTGATCTCCTGTGAGGCGGACCCTTAGCCCTGCACCCGGTACGCAGTAGGGAATGTATAGTGTGGTGGCTTTGATGCTTAGAATACGGCTTCAAGGTAGACTCTAGTCTATATGGGGATGTCATGACAAAGAACTAAGACCCTTACATGACCACTCTAACCACAAACTCCTGGCCCTCAACCCCAGCTTATTATTTCCTCAAACTTTAAACCTTAATTGAGCAGCTAAACCCGAATCCAAAACGTAGACTCCAGACACCTAAACCCAAACACAGAGCCCAAAAGGAGGCTGTCTTCGAACGAGAGCCCCCAAACGTACTAAAGGCCTCTGCTCCTGCTTTGGAATTCCCGACAGGTACAGCTAAGCTGTCATTGAGGGTTTAGGAGTTCAGGGCTTCGGGGTGTCGGGGCTTCGGGTTCAACCTGATTAATCAGGAGTTGAGGGTTTTGGGGCTTGGGCTTTCGGGCTCATGTAGTCGGGTTCTTAGCTTTGGGGTGCCTGATGCTACTTGCGACTCTATCTAATGTAATGGTCCTCAGTTTTCGAATCCTTGTTTTGAGGGTATGTGGTAGCCCGGTCGCCAGCAACCCCTTACGAATGGCGACCTTCTGGGCGATCTAGGCACGAGTCTGTGTCACTTCTAGTTCGTCTAGACCTCAAAACAGCTCCTCGTCAATGTCGTGGTCGAAGACCTGGATGGACCGTGCGCGCGTCATCGACATCCTGATCGTGCAGCTCGCTTTCTGAGGGCCTTAAATTTTTTCGGGTCCAGGGTTTCACGGTCTAGGGGTTTAAAATCATAACAAGGAGCCCTCAAAGTCAGGTTCTCTGCGCATGGGTTTTGAGGAAAAAAAGGTTGAGTGAGCAATGCACCCATAATTCTACTAAGGATCCCAAAAATGCCACAAGAACGCACAGAAAACCGTTACTTCATGCTGAGAAGCCTTGATAAAACCCTTTCTGACCCTAAGAAAACCCCCTGCAACTTTCGGGTTGTTTGGGCAAAGCTCTAAGCCCTAACCCCAAACCNNCCAAAACTCCTGAACCCTAAACCCCTCAGACAGGCGACGCTCCCAAAGGATCGATGATCGACTTGCGTCGGCTGTGGGTGTGGCTGACCGCACGGCTGACCTTCAGAGGAGGTTTAGGGTTTAGGGAGGCTGTGTGGCCGATGATTGCTGTTTATAGGGCTTCGGGCTTCGGGCTTAGATTGGGTTTAGAACAAGTCCTACGCAAATCCTGCAAACCTCCCCAGCGGATGCATGAAGGTTGTTTACGGGCTAAGGGTTCTAGGAGGCTTCTAAAGGGTTGTACAAGGGTTCTATCAGGGTTTTAGAATGGTGTTGTAATTGTCTTTTGAAGGTTCTACGCAGATCCGACTGCTTCAAAGGCCCTACGAGATAGTTAAGACTCCCGAAGAAAGTGTAGGCTTCAGTTGCCTTTTCACATCAGTCGCATCAGCAAGAATGAGCGTCCTGAATGTATGCTGAAGGAGGAGCTTAGCCCCTTAACCCTAATCTCCGAACAGCGGAACCTCTTGACCCTGAACCTTTTCCCAAAACCGCAAACCCTGAACCCTA